TCCTGAACTCCATGGTTCAGTAAATGTCACTGAGCTGGATAGACTCCATGTATTAGCTTGGAGCGGAGCCATGGAGTTTTGAACGGGGTTCTGAAGACCAAAGATAGTGGCTTTTGTTGTTTCACTGTTTGTTGTGGTAGATTAAATTTAGTCTCTTGCATCATCCAGCTTGAAGCTAATCAAAAGCAAATAAAGCCTCTTATTTCCTTGGAAAACAAATAGTGCTTAACCTGGGGTTGAGATTATTTGTGTGGGGGCTGGAGAGATGGTTAAGAGCACTGACTGCTCTTGCTGAGGATCCAGGTTCGGTCCCTGGTACCCACATGCTGGCCTACAACCATCTGTAACCCCAGTTTCGGGTGATCTGGCACTCTTCTGGCCTCCATGAGCATCAAACATGCACAGAGGGGCCACACATACTGTAATATGAAAGGAAAAGGACCCTCAAGACCAAGTTCTCAGCACAAAGAAGAGTGTATTTGTCCCAGAGAGAAAAAAAGGCAGGGAATAAGAGACAAAGATAGGAGACAGAGGATGAGGGAGAAGGGGCCCGGAACAAGGGGAAGGGAGTATTTGTCCCAGAGGACAAAGGACTGTCTCTAGATAGAGGGAAGACAGACACAGCCCATACGAAATGGTGGTTTATACATACACAAGGGGAAACCCCGTGTTAGGATGAAGTATTGATTAGGGTAGCCAATGGGGGCTTCTGATGGCTGGACTTCAATAGTTTGATAGCTGAACCTTGGCGGTCAACCTCAGGAGGAGGAAGTGGCCAAATAAGGGAATAGACCTTGGGGGTTGGCTTTAGGGATGTCATCTAACGGTTTTTAGCAAGGCAGAGGGAATGGGGGAGGGCAAGGCCTGCCAGCGCCATGCTTGCCACACTCAAGCTAGTCAGAGTCTCTTTACATACATGTAGGCAAACACTCATCAGCATAAAATAAAAATAGATAAATCTTTTTTTTTTTTTTAAAGAAATGCAGAATGGAACAGGGAAAGGAACTCAGTTGGTGGAGTATTTGCCTAGGATGTCTGAGACCTCGGGTTCAGTTCTTAACACCACATAAGCCAGGCATGGTGGCCCATGCCTTTAATCAATGGGGAGGGGGAGGCAGGAGAATCAGAAGCCAAAGGCCATCCTTGGCTACATATCACATTCAAAGCCAACCTGGGCTACATGAGACCTTATGTCAAAAAGCAGAAGTTTTTAGATAATAAACTTGGTCACACAGTAAAATTTTTGTTGCTTCTTTATCATGAGAAAATATGGTAGGCCCACAGAAGGACTTTATCCCATCCCTGGCAGGAGGCATGTCTCAGCTTCTTCTCTGAGTTATCTGCGTTAATCTTTTTTTTCTAGACCATCAGAACAGACATTGTGATGGATGTTGGCAACAGCATAAACCCAGCCCTTGACATAGGCCAGGTACGAGTAACTGTTTTGTCTTGTTTCCTGTTTGTGGGGCAAAAACTTCAGTGAGGTCTGAAGAGGAAACATCCACCTGCTGGTCACCTGAGAACCTTACCCTAGTGTGCTGGGTCTGTCTGAGGTCAGTCTGTGAAGGGTTTCACCTGCCTCACTGATGGAAAACATGATGGTATGTGGACAGGCCCTGTGAGGACTCCTCTGGAGTATCATTCCAATGGCTAAACCAAGACTAAAACCCAGTCCTCTGACTTGGGATATAGAGAAATGTTTTTAGAGGGATGCCTGGTGACACTGATTCACCCTGGAAGGTCCTTTGAACTGCAGTTCCTAGGTCAGACAAGCAGCATGCAGTTGAAATGCTCCTGGGTGTATTGCCTCACGGGTAGTAATTCCTTCTTTTCTCTCAGGTTGAAGGTGCGTTTACTCAAGGAATGGGACTCTACACGATAGAGGAGCTGAGTTACTCTCCTCAGGGTCTTCTGTACAGCCGTGGCCCAAACCAGTACAAAATCCCTGCCATTTGTGACATCCCCACAGAGATGCACATTTCCTTTTTGCCCCCATCCGAACACTCAAACACCTTATATTCATCTAAGGTAAGCTGTGTTGGATGGCTAGGTCCATGCTTACTTGATATCTGTAGGGTGGAGAGACGTTGGTCTGCTCGGTTGTTTGATGTCCTTACTGCGATTCCAGGAGTCCTTATTTAACATTCTCATTGTAAAGTAACTTCACGGCATGGTGAAATGCTTCAAATACTCCCAACCTGCCTAACGTGAACTATCAGATTACATTTGACTTTGTATATTATAGCCACCACCTTCATGCCTGTATGTGCTTGCTCCATCTGAAACCATTTTCTTAAGCTAGAATCCTAAGAATATTAGGATCAGTGGTTAAATGACTTTTTCAATAGCAATTTACTTATGGTGTTCTGTAGGTTATATATGTATCTAATTAACAAATACTGCGTTATGTACATATACACGGGTGCCTGTATGTTCAGAGAGGAAGGGACAGTTTGTGTCATAACCTCCATGGCTCACTTTTCCCCAGGGTCTGGGAGAGTCTGGGGTCTTCCTGGGATGTTCGGTATTTTTTGCCATCCATGAGGCCGTGAGCGCGGCACGGCAGGAGAGAGGCATCTCCAGACCACTGAGGCTCGGGAGTCCACTGACTCCAGAGAAGATCCGAATGGCCTGTGAGGATAAGTTCACAAAAATGGTACGTTACACTCAAGAGAAAAAAAACGGAAAGTCCATCATTTCTGTCCCCTGGCTCTATGGCTAAGTGTCTTTAACCCACCGCTGTGGTTTTTCCACAAAGAAGAAAAGCTGACAGGAACTCCTTAGGGCACATGGGAGGGACAGAATGGCTCTTGAACTTGTGCCCCTGGGTTGTGTCTTCTCCTCAGCCTTGCTTGGTCTCCTGTGTGCTCAGGTCCTTATCACTCTAGGGGAACAGAAAGCTCATTCTCTCAGATTTACGTTTCCCCTGAGTCAGGCTGAGTGCAGGGGCTGTGGCCTGAACCCAGGACACCCAGCCATGAATCAAGGTCACTCTTCTATATCCCCCTGCCACCCATGCAGGCACTGGCAGTGTGACAGACAGAACCCTCCCACAGTGTCATTCCCGCTGAGCACACGCTCCGGTTCTCTGTGCGTCTGTTCAGCAACATGATCTGTGGTTTTAGATTGTAATGGGACCATGCCACCCAGCTTCCTCTCTAGCTACGAGACAAGTTTCCTTCTTGTGTGTGTGTGTGTGTGTGTGTGTGTGTGTGTGTGTGTGTGTGTGTGTGTCCCTCTTACACTCCTTCCGTGCAGGCTCTGCATAATCCTGGACCCCACACTGGGGAAACAGACACCGACTCCATGTTTCCTTAGTCCCTCTCCACGTGGAGTTAAAACTCTCCATCCCTCCGCTAGACCCTCTCCAAGGTGCCTCTGTATATCCCGTGGTGGTGTCCTCTGATCTCTCATCGGCCCGTTGCCTGTGGTGGTTTTTACCTTCACTACCTTCTGTTAATTTTTTTTTAAACCTAAGTCACAAGCATGTCTCTAGGGTATAAGCATCCAAATTTGCTCTTTCCTCCCAGATTCCAAGAGATGAACCTGGATCCTACGTTCCATGGAACATAACTGTGTGAGTCAAATGCGAACTCTGGAGGGACCGGGTCAACGCCGCTGCAGAATGCACCTCCCAGTCTCTCTGCTCCTAGCCTCGAACTATAAAAGCCAGATTTTCACAGCCCAGAATTATCCACAGCATTGCTTTACAGGAAGCTGATTTGGAAGTTTCGCCTCAACATACTCCAGACATACCTAAGCAATCACAAATCATATTTTAAATTGCACAAATATTAAATTGTTTCCTTTGAGGTGGTTTCATTCATTTATTCATTATTCTGTCCCTTGGATCTGTCCAGCTAAATATGACCACTTGTCTGTGGCTCGCTTTTGGTTTGTATACTCCAGCAAAAGTTATATTATCTAATGAATGACAATTTTATAAATAATTTCTTCCCTGTTGTGAACTGTAAATTCATTTTTTCATTTGTCCCTGAAAGCCATCACTCCACTTTCCTTATCATGACAGATATGGGCCGCATATCTAAAGAGTCTCTGGAACCACTGGGGTCAGGAGGAAAGAGATAAATGAACTTCATCAAAACCACAAAGGTGGCAACAGCATTCCCACCACTCAGGAGAGGGAGGCAGGAAGGTCTAGAGTCCAAGGCCAGCCTGGGCTACATAGCAAGACTCTGTCCCAACAAAATAAGGGCTAAAGATATAATTGGTAATAGAGTGCTTGTCTAATGTGTTCAGGGCCCTTGGTTCATTTCCAGCACAGGAAAGAGAGAGAGACAGAGACAGAGAGAGAGACAGAGACAAAGAGACCCACAGAACAGGAGAAGATATTTATAAACATACGACAAAAGTCTTGGGTACAGAACACTTAAAACTTAGTAGTTAAAGAACAAATTACTCTTCAGTATTTTTTTAATGGACTGATAAAGCAAATAGACAGAGATGTTTAAATGACCAATCAGCACATAATACGCTCAGCCTTGTTGTTCCTGGAGAAATGTACGTCAAAACTGTAGTGAGACGCCATTCACGTACACCATAGTTGAAACGATGGACAATGGCAAGTGTTAGCAGGACATGGAGAAACTAGAGGCTCTGTCCATTACTGGAGGGATGTTAGAGGCTCTGTCCATTACTGGAGGG